CTTGGGGGGGGGCATTGGTAACAAACCTGCGGGAGCGGAGGAGGAGGGCTGAAGTGAGGGGGCGCTGGTGCTCATGGCATCCAACGCTGAGCCCAGAAGCCGGTTCTGTGGGGGGGGGGGGGGGGGGACAGAGCCAAGGTCACTAAGGTGGCAGAGTGGAGGCGTCACACTTGAAGGACATAAGGCATCATAGCGACGCCCAAATCGAGTGACCAATCAGGATTCGGCCAGAATGCATCACGTTCCACAGCATCATGATGACAAACTATCCTCTGGAAATCTCTGTAAGGAGCCAGCGGTACCGGGGTGGTGCCTTCCTGAGCTGCATGAGCTGACAGCTCAGTACAGGGCGAATGGCAGCAGGGGGCACCTTGTGGGAGTAGCAAGTACGCCCTGATGTCACGCTTACAAGGGGTCAAAGGTCAGCCAGCGCCACACCTGGGGTGGGGGCAATAAAGCTCGTTTACAGGGACACGTCATGGCTGGGTGATAATATTGGCGACTACAGAGGGATGGGAAGCCTTGGAATGCAAAGCAAGGCCCCAACTACTGCCTGCACTGCCGCCAAACGCACAGGAGCACCAGGCGATCCAAAGGGGAATCAGGGCTGCGGGAAGAGTGACCTTTACATCACACAAAGAAAGCCATACAGAGCAAACCAACACACAGGCGACGGAAATGAAACTGTTTGTTTGCATATAAATGACTGAATTATTCAGATAAGGCTGCAGCAAGGCTGGGGGCTTAAATCTGGCTTAATGCTGGAACAGAACAAGCAGATAGTTTGGCTGGATGGGTGGATGGATGGATGGATGGATGGATGGATGGACGGAGGGATGTGTGGATGGATGGGCTACAAACCTGCAGCTCCAGCTGCTGTGCCTGGATCCTCTCCAGGTGCTGCAGCCTCTGCTGGGTGAGGGCGCTGAGCTGCTCCTCCAGCCGGGACACGCGGGCCAGGGGAGACCCCGCCTCGCTCCCCTGGCTTTTGTTCCTGGGCCGTTCAGCCTCGCGGAGCTTCTGCAAGCCCTCAGAGACCTGGGACACTCGGGCCTCCACGTCACTCTGGGCCTGTGGGCACAGCCTGGTCAGCACCCCAGAAACCAAACGAGGAGCCTCTACACCAGCAGAGGGAGCCGTATGAAAATGGTCTAAGGCAAAATGTCACAATAAATTCACCCATCCATCCATTTTCTATAACCACTTGTCTTATTCTGGGTCGCAGGGAGTCTGGAGCCTATATCCCACAGGCGATGGGAGCTACCCAGGATGGGGCGCCAGCCCATTGCAGGGGGAAACCTGAGTACCCGACGGAAACCCCATGACAACACGGGGAGAACATGCAAACCCCATTCCGGAATGCATTGATCCAAATCAGGAAATGGAACTGGAGTTGGAACTTAAATCTCCCTGAAATTCAAATTCAACTCCAATTCTGTTCCCCGTAGTTTTTTTTCCAATCCCAGCTCCAGTTCCATTTCCTGATTTGGACTGGAATTGATCAATGCATTCCGGAATGGCCCCAACCCTGCCCTACACACATGGAGCCATGCCACAGACTTGAACCCGGGTCCCAACGGTGTGAAGCGACAGTGCTAACCACTGCACCACCTCACAATACCTTCAGTTCAATCGATGAATTTATAAAGCTACACTGTGATTTTTAGTCAAGATGCACACTGAGCACAGGAAGGGAGACCCACCTTGATGAGTGGTGCTGTGGCGGCCAGGGCGGCGGCAGTGACAGCGGCAGCTAAAGAGGCCGCCCCCTCAGTCACATGCTCTCTTGGGGAGCCATCACTGAGCTGACGCTCAGAGAAAGGGGTTACTTCTTGCTCCAATAGCCGCACTTTTACCTCCCGCCTCAAGGGGGCGCTTTGAGACCTGATACAAAAAGGTCAAAGGGAATCTGACCACCTGCATGCCGAGTTGCTTCAACAATAAAACTTTCAAGCAGTAGCTGGACAGATTTAATAATACAGCTTTAAAGTGATGTATCATAAATCTTGTAATACCATACGGTCATGTTTACCTCATAATCATGCTTGTGTTTTGGCAAAGATTACCATTGTGACACAGCTCTATTCCATCTCCAGATCATAAATGAGAGCCCAAAAATTTACAAGACCATTCTGGTCAAAATGTATTCCTCACATTCTTCAGTAAAGAAAAATGACCCTTTATTAAGTGGAATTTAAAAAATTCAAATGTAAATCAGTCATTTTTTGGGGGGCTGAGGGAGATCATCTCATAGTCTTTGCAGAATCAGCCTTCACCTTGTCTGCCCAGGTGAGTGGGGGCAAGTTGCTGCCCCCAGTCCATCTTTTATTCATAGCCAGCATGGACCTGCCAGCTGCTCCCAGCGTTGTGCTGCGCAAGTATTCCAAAGAGACCCCCATATCCCCCTCCCCCACCCCCCCATCAGCCGTCTCCCGCCCAGCCTCAGAACTACAACGCAGTGTCCCGCAGGAAGGGCTGGGGGCACAGGAGAGACAGCAGCCCCATTCACACACAAAACCAGACACCTGCACCCCAAGCTACAGCTCGCATCTCAAACACCCGCCAGCCTCTCGCCCGGGTAACCGTGGCGATTTCATCATCAATGTGTCGGGAGCAGCCTTCGCCTCCCATTGGCTGCGGCTTCCCCATCCGGCCACCGGCAAACACGAGTGCCTCCGACAAAGCAGGGGCCCAGATCGAGCAAGAGAGTCCCGTGGGATCTTAGCCAAAAGAAAAATGGAGGCTGGCAGCCTGTTAAACAAAGATGGAGTAAATGAAACTCAGAGTGCACTCCGATCCACTCTGGGAATAAAACTGAAATGAAAGGCTGGTAGTTAACGAGGGGGACACATTTTAACACGAGAAACAGTAAAGGCCACTGACATGAAACCGTGTAGAATGGACTGAGGAACACGGTGCAGGGACGGAGCCTAATAAAACCGTCACCGTCACTCTGCTCCCAGCATGCAGTAGGACACAGAGTGGCCTCCTACCTCTGCTTCAGAGCGGCTCGGACTGCTTCCTTCCTTCCTGGTGCAAACTTAGATATCACCATGTCTTCTCCTACATGGGACAAAGCAGGTATGATGAAACCACACGACAAGTCACATGATCTCCATCTTAGCAATAACTCCCAGAAATCCCTGCCGATTAGCAAGTTATATCAAACCATCATTTATAATATATGCAAATCAGTCAGACATGCCTTAAATATTCACTACCATCTAGTACTCTAGTAATGAAGCAAAACCCAACCATTTAAATACAAAAGGTGAAATTATTCATAGTGTGCAGAATTTATGGCATTTTTAACTACTAGAAGCAATAAAGCACAATACTACAATGCACAATGTTTTAAAAGCTGCTTAGGCTGATCATGTAATATCAAGATTTGCGTTTTAGTGCGATTTTGAATGGAAATACCAGCAAACTTCAATGTTCTGACGCTTGAACATTACCTTTGGGTGCACTGCCCCCTGGTGGCCAATTGTATTTAACTGCTTTATTTTTCTTCTTATTCGGAGTCTAAACAGACACAATCGAATATGAATTAATATAGACAAAAACATGCTTATAGCAAGTGGAGGTTTCATTCATATTATCGCATATTTCACGTTACTAAGTGTTCCCTTTTTTTTAAACATATCTATTGAATTGTACCAATTATTACAGCTGAATGTAGAATGGCATAGTACAGTAACTCAGGTCAAACAAATTCTGTGTATTTTCGTTTCGTTACTTGCCTGATGGGCCCAGGGATCTTGATCAGGAAGCTGCGGATTGACCGCGACGTTCCCTGTAAAATTTAAAACATAAAGGACTAAAAATGGCCACGGGGTGGCGCACGAACATCACGTCAGTTGCTGTCAGGAGTACATTTTATTTATTTATTTTACAGTAAAACTTATATAGGAGGAAATAGTACCTTACTAATTTCATTAAACAGCTTGCGAATTGAAGAGACTTTCTTAATTCATTGCTAATTTTGTGATCATGCCAAAACGTTAAGGCCAAGTTACCGTGCAGCGACCCTCTATTTCCCTCAACCCAGGGAGAGGTGGGCAGCTTGTTTGCTGCCAATGCTGGAGGTACGTCAGCTTGCTGAACTGACGGCTCGATGAAGCGCGATGACGACGGGGCTCCCCGGAGCTTCTGCACAGAAATTCTCTTTTTGTCTTTAGGGCACCATCCGGATGAGACTAAGCTCACGTCCTGCTTCCCGCAGCTCTGATTTGCCGGCTGGGTTCTCGTCGAGCGGATTATAATATCCTCGGCGTCCGAACTTGATGCAGACTCCTCCGGGTTTCCTCTGTGAAGCGACGCTGCTAAAATGTCTGCCATTGCTGGCTCTGCATCGAGATTGTCAGTCAGTTAACACGGCGTATGTAGACACCAAATCGTGACTAATTTATTAAGTTGCTAATTGGATACTGGTACAATTACTGCAGAAGCAGTCCAATACAACTAAGGAGCCAGACAATGTAAACAAAGTACTACACTTAATAAATGGTGAAATTATTCACATACATATATTCGCTAACAAGCAGAACATCGTGGCAGTCGTGGTGTCAAAGCTGCAGTTAGCTTCCTTTAGAAAGACACCACGACCTCTCCATTGCTACCAGTCATACAGCCGCCTGTTAAATAACTTTCCCGCCCGGCTTCAGCCAGCTGACTCTAACAATACTGGGGAACATGGCAACACAACTAACTTCTGCAAAACCCATCCCGTGCTAGGGCACACCTAACAGTATAAAGACAGTGTGTAAGCGGTCAGGAAACTACAATGAACGAAAAATCCAAAATATGTATCAGCACCAAGCAGCGTATTATTAAAATATTCATTTACGTACATAAGCACATTAAACGGACGTTCATTCGGGGAACAACAATCACTTCCGGTTCAAAACAAGTTCCGTACCATACAAATAAAGAACTTCATTTCGTTAATTCTTTTTAGAACTACGATGCCTTAATTTCTTGGCTTCCTTTTCCACGAATTAAGACATAAGATTGGCTATTAGAGGTGCCATTTAAGTCTACGTTTTGTTTATAGTATGCACACACACGATTTACCTGCTTAATATTTACCCAGTTGGAGAAATGCACAAAATGCAGAAGTGCGTGAAACAACAAAATGAGTTTTGTAGAAATGCAAGGTAAAATAATTTATTAGGTAAAATGTTTAATTCTGCATATGACGCTTAATTGGTGCTCAGAAGCTCCCAGAGGACCTGCACACCTTATAATATTCCACAATCACATAAAACGTGTATCAATATAAAAAATATAAAATTAATATCCAGAGCTATGTCCTAAATCAGAACTAATTAATCTCTAGTTAAACACCACCCTCAACTAGAAAGTATGATTCGCTATACAGTACTGCTTGGTGGCATGTCGGGCTCTAAATAAAGTAACACACTATCCCGTAAATTCGCTATTAGCATTTTCGACAAACAATATGCTTTTGAATTTATATTGCTTTCAATTGATATATTCCAAAATAAGTAATAGTATGTAAAATTCGTGTATGTTATCCATTTTTTCTGAAGATAATTGATAAATAAGGTAAGTCAGATTATATGGGATCTGCAGAAGCGATTCTTCAGCCTTTCCGCAGGGGCGTCTCACATGTCCTTCTTCCGCAGAGCGGTGCTTCCTGCTTTATGTAATTTGGTGAATGCAGGTAATGGTGACTTGATTTTAGTCTTAAAACCGAATTTGTTCAGCAGACTGACTGTCCGTTTTGATGAAATATACTTTACACTGCAATATCCCGCGACCTGAACACAGTATAATACGGACAGATTAAATGTTTTTTTTCTTTACGCGTATTTTCATACCTAGGCCCGTGTCATTCAGGTTTTTTACTAGTTAAACTTGATGTTTTTCATTTATGACATGTCTCATATTTAGCCTTTGGTATATACAGCTGATTGAATAAGTACATCCACACGGGAAAAGTCACTATTTCAGCGGTGCAAGTTAAGTTAATAAAAATACTTTATTTAATTACCCAGTTATTGTAGACATTTATCATACTACAGCTTTTTAAATTTTCATTACAATATAATATTTTCTTTTCTATTTTTTACAAATGAACTCGCAGTGTTATGGTGTTCTTGTCATTTAAATGTTATCTTTAATTATGTTTCTATTTTCGCAGTGAAATAGTCATATGCATTTATATTAATACAAAGCAGTTTGTTTTTTGCTTTTTGTGCTTGTTCAGTATAATTTTTATATTTGTTTGTTTTCATTTTCTAGGCAAATTAAGAAAACTGTATACATTTAAAAGTCATGGCTGCCCAGATATCAGAATCAGATCAAATAAAACAAGTAAGTAACGTTTACCGGGTTTGAAATGAGACGACGTTTTTGTATTGTACGATGATTTTGCTCCCTTGACTATGTATCTACCTTAAAAACCCAGGTTCCTTTAGCCTGGATTATGTTTTGCTTATTTATTTGCTTATTTACTGTAAAGCCTTGCTAAAACCAGTAAATAGGGTTCAGTAAGTTCAGCCATACCATAATTTTAGATATATGCTTTAGTGCTCAATGACTGCTAAAGCATTCACTACAAACAGCTAACAAATCTTTTATTTTTATTTTGGACAGTTCAAAGAATTTTTGTCAACATACAATAAGCTTACAGAGAACTGCTTTATGGACTGCGTAAAGGATTTCACCACCAGAGAAGTCAAAGCAGAGGAGGTAATGTAACGGTGTTTTCATCACCTGTTATATACCATTGGGCATGAAACTTGTGTCAGAGAACAGGCACAGCAATTTATGGGGCACCCCCCAGAGCTGTTTTTGGGGTGTAGATCTACGCCCAGGTCCCAGCAGTGATGTGATTACCCTGCCAGCCGCTGAATTTAAACCAGCGACCTTGGAAGTCTGGACTCTTGCCAGTTTGGGTACCAGGAGAGCAAAGTATTAATTAAACTCCATTAAAACATATAATGCATTTTTTCAAAGCGCACAGAACATTGCTTTAATGCTGGGCTGTGAATAGCAGATTGTACGTTAGTGACTGATATGTGGTCTCTGAGCACAAGCGGATACTGTGTTTGGGAAGCTGGAGATGTCAGGCAGTCTGCGTTTCAGGTGTGGAGTAGATCATGGAGGGCTGCTCAACTAGCCAAATGTCCAACCTGATATGCATTCATGAGCCATTTGCCTACACCTTCCTCTTTCCTCTGATTTTAATCATACCCTAAATAATAAATCTATTGGGTCCTGTACAATTTTGGGAAAATACTTGTATTTATTTAACAGACGCTTCCATCCAAAGTAACTTACAAGTGAGGTAAGTAGATAACAAGCTTTGGTACAGGTGCTGCTATGCTGAGCTTGCTGCGAATAGCCAGTAACAAGTGCGTTGGAGACATGAGATTGGACCAGAAGCTATGCAACACCATTAGAAGCTAATATCAGAAAAGACAGTCAAATCCAAAATGGCATGAGGATTGGAGACTAGATACCTACCAGATAAACGCAAAATTCTAGAAAAGAGCACCCAGTGTTGAGTGCAAACAAAGTGATGTCAGATGAAGATGGTGAGCAGGTCACTGTTCTTGGAAAAGATGGGGTTTTTTGTGTGAAGGTTGTTAGGCACTTCAGATGTGGATGGGTAGGTCCTGAAGATTGACTCAGTGTAGGTAGGTGCCATTCCAGTTCTGAATGCGAGCGCCAATGACTTGGATTTGATGAGAGCGCCTATAGAGAGCCAATGAAGAGAGACAAAGAGGCACATAACATGAGAGCTGATTGAATTCCAGATGCTCCATTCTTTCTTTGCACATGTTGGCAGCCCTGTCAGTAAAGAATCGGTAATGAGATAAGTGCCTGAAGTAGGAGTTGAGTTGCGATAGGGATAGTTTCAATGTGGACAGCAAGGAGCTGGTCTTCTATTGTTACCCTTACTGCCGTACTGCGATTTTCTACTGAATGACATGGTTGGTGGGAATACTAGAAACTTGGCTTTTGAACGGTTTGGCTGGTGATTCCTCATTCAGTCTACAGTGTCACCAAGGTATGCAGAAATTGTGGCAGAGACTTTGGATAACTTTGGAGGGACAGTAAAGTAGAATTCAGTATCATCTCCATAATAGTGGTAGAAGCCATGTGACTAGGGGAATGGAGAAGAGATATGGTGTACAGGGAGACGGGGAGGGGACCAAGGACTGAACCTTTGGGCATACCATGCCAATTAATTTGTGGAACCTTAATATCAGCCACTTTTATCAAGCAACTGACCAGATTATAAGTGTCACAGGTGCCTTGTGTGCTGCCTTGGAAACACTAACTGCTGTTATAATAGATTCATTGTGAGTCGGCACACAATACAATTTCCCTAGTCTTTGCATTGATGGTGCCTTGGGTGAATCAGTATTTAGCTGGACCATACTCTCTGGAACACAGCTGTAATGCATGGAGTGGCTCTTTTGGCAGGACTCCAGAGCACGCACGGCCTTTCCATGTGGCCGTAACTTTCAGTTTCTCTTGTTCAGGGCACCTGCTCGGAAAGCTGCCTGCAGAAGTACCTGAAGATGACCCAGCGCATCTCCATGCGTTTTCAGGAATACCACATCCAGCAAAACGAGGCCCTGGCGGCCAAGGCGGGCATACTGGGCCAACCACGATAAGGCTCCGGTGGCGGGTCGACAGAGCAAGGAGGTGCTGGGAATCACGCTCCCGCCCAGGGCGTCCTGCCGGTCTTCAAACAACAGAGACCCCCCTCCATTTGAAAGGAGAGTCCAGAGCCCAGGGTGGAGCAGGCAGCTATACAACCTGAAATGCCTTCCCATCTACCCAGCCCTCCTGGGCCTTGAGCCAGGAGCCGTGTGCTGCAGCCTCAGGCTGGTCGGCCTGACCTGCACACGGCCAGCCAACTTGCGGGGGGGGGGGGGGGTGGATCACCCTGTGTGGGTTCTTAAGTATGTATCATAAGGCAGAAGGAATCATTCACATGCTGGAGTCTAAGGGCTCATTGTCCCAGTGTTACATATTAAATACTGGATGAATGGTTTTCGTTGTCTCATTCTTTAAATTGCTTTGAAGTATCTCAGTGACTTTCACAGGAGATGTTTTAAGATGATTATATATTTATCCCAGTGCAGAGATGCCAAGTCGTAATACAATTAAACGATAAGTGAATGTTTCTTCTGTATCAGTATTCATTTGTTATTTTATAATACAGCAAGCTTGAGACAGACTCCACTTAGTCTGCCAGATCAGCACTCTGCAGTGTGATATAAATACATTGTTGTTTCTAGACAGCACAAAGGTATATGTAGATGCAGAAACCTCATACCTGCACAATCTTTCAAAAGATGCAAAAAAATTCTTAACACGTCTCTGGAAATCTGATCACAAGAGAACCTTCACCATGCAAGTTCTTTACGCAAAGTCCATTCCAAGTAAGAATGGATTTTCTGGGAACGTGCTCATTTCCTTGGAATCACAGGAATTTGTCTATGCCCTGGAAACAAAGGCTTTACCAATTATTGAAACCCATGTGAAAGACTCCAAGCTCTGAGCACAGTGATGTTAATTAACCAGAATCGAAGTATCCAAACCCACTATCAATTGTGGTTTTAATCACAAGACATTTGTGGTACCAGGAATGACAATGGAATGTGACAGCAGCACCAAACTACTGTTATTTTAAACACACTCCTCTTTACTCAAGGCTAGCTAGACACACACACACACAGCAGCCATAAGCATGACAACCACAGAAACACAGTAGAAATATATTTGAAAACTTTATTAGAAATGAGGGGAGCTCTGCTTAATTTACATAAAGATACAATGGCTTTGCTTTAGGAAATCTAATACCGTTTTTCCTTCATCCAGGAATCTGTAGATAAACTTTAAAAGTAAGTCTTGACAATGTTGATGAAATAAAATGTTTATAAAGCAGAAATGTACAATGTACTGAAGTCCTACTCCACACTACAGTCTGGCTCCAGCAGTCACTGGAAGCCAAGTTCATCATATACAGTCTACAGATGGTGCACTAAAGTCTACTGACTTAACATCAGGGGAGAAAAAAAAATACAAAGATGGATTAAAAAAAAAAAAAAAAACATAAAATATTTTTTTTTACAGGTTGTGTAAAATGTATTTTCAAATACATGGTTTAGGAAGATCTATATACAAAAGAGAGAGACCCCTGGGCAGGACAGACGTTCTCTTAGCAATACTTTTTATTATTATTCAAATGGTCAGAATGCAAATAATAATATACACTTAAATTAAAACAAATAGTACCAGGCAATCTGAATACAAGCCGAGAAAAGTAAAAGCCACCGACTTCTGGTGTCTTAAAAGAAAAAAAATAAATTTGGGCCCAAAGGTTGGGGAAAAAGTCAATGTACAAGTTGTCAGAGTTTGCCTTTCAGTTAGCTTACGACATTCTCATCTCATTTTCCCCACCATCCTAACCAAATGTGGAAGCTTCCAATTGATTTATTCTTGTAAAAAATACATAAAAATGTTATGTTCACTGTGAATAAATATATTTAACAAGTTGCAAGATAATACCTTTATTTTACACAAAATTTCAGCTCTAGAAATCTTTCATTAAATAACTTCATGGCTGTGATATATACTTTTTTTAAATTTCCCATAATAAAATAAAAACTCTGCAATTACATATAAAACGACAAAATACACTTGCGGAGGAAGTTAGTCCACTGAAAACATTTTTGCCTCTATTCCACTGTAAACATTTGTTTTCTTTTTAAAAGACAAGGGGGGGCACGGGGGCAATGGGGGAACCCAAACAAGTTTTGCATAATTATCTGTGCTCAAATAAGACCAGAGGAAGACGACAGAGCTGCAGTTTTCAGTGAACTACACTCCCCTTCGCAACTGAATTTGTCCCACTTTTTCAAAATAGGGCACTCTGCTGTAACACATGTACTTTGGCAGTTCTGATTGAGCAAACGAGCAGAATTGACCTTTTTTTTTTACAAACCATGACCAGCTGGTTAACAGTGACCATTACCGAATAGAAGGACACATCCATATTACGTTGCCTGGCTACTCGCCTCATTCTGAGCAACAGAACTCGAACGATACTGCATCCAGAGCGGCCCCATGGCCGGAACCGGCGGGAGAGGTTTGCGTATGCTTTCGTCGGGGAGGAGAGGGGAGAAAAGTGCCTTGAACTGTAAAAGGATGACGCTCAGAAAGGAGGGCTTGAGAACCGATCTCCGACTCATTCTTACATTCAATTCACAGAATCCATTTCCTGACGTGATTGGGTGCTGGGGGAAGAGGCGGGGCCGGGTCACAAAGTGCAGGAAGTGGGAGTGGTCACACGGGCAGGGCCGGGAGGGGGACGGTCGAGTGCTTTTGGCTGCTCGCTCTGACTCGTCAGTCTCAGTGCGCGTCTCCGAGAAGGCAGCAGAGGGGGGGCCATCACCTGCACTCCACCGCTACCGTGGTCTGGCTGGGCGAGGTGGAGGATGGGCTCATGCCCGTGTCGGAGGAGCCCGAGGACGTGGAGGCCGTCGTGTGGGACACTGTCGGGGAAGCAGCAGAGCATGAGCGCACAGGTTGGGCCTTCAAGCAGGCAGCCTGGGGACGCACCTCCAATTCACAGCCGTGTAGCAAATGCGGGTTTTAAATAAGCAAAGTGCCACAAGCCGTGTGCTGCTACGGGCCAAAGTGACCTCCGACAACAGGATCAGCCTGACACTGAACACACACAAACAGCAACATTTTCACAATATCTCGACTCTCACCTTCTCTCTCCTTCTTCTTTAACCTCTTCCTCCTCCTGTCAATGGAAGCCACTTCAGATTTCAGCGACATGTAGTACTTCCTGATTTCCTGCAGCTTGTCCTGCAGGAAGGTGATGCGCTCTGTACTCGTCATGTTGTCCAGTTCGGCTGTGGGGAGGGATGCAAGGAAGGTGATCACATTCTGCAGCTGATAACCTCCTAAGCAACCAGCAGCTCAGGCTACAAATGCATCATCTGTCTCACTTCCGCACAGCAGTATCTGCCAAATAAATGTAAACGATACCTCAATATGACAAACATGCATTTTAAAATAACCAGTCGACACTGACCTAAACAATCCACAAACCAAACAATCCACAACAGTAAGTATTTTTCTATAAATAAAAGGAAAATTTGTGGAAGTTTAAACAATATTGATTTTAGAGATCCCTAATGATTCAGAGGGTCAAGCTCATCTTACAGATGACTGTCGGGGAGTGGGTAGCTCAGCGAAGGCAGCAATCTGATGGACATAAAGCCACTCGTGGTGAAATGAGGACCTCAGCTGCACCCGGAGCGGGATAATGTCACGTGACGGACACATGGCGGGGACAACCGTGAAGAGGGGGAAACTGACAGGCGAGCCGGATTCAGGGACACACCAGTCCATTCTGCCAAGTTACGGGGATGACACTGCATGGATCTCAGGGTTGTGTTTTATTAGATGGGACAGAACAAAGCGACGAGCGTGATGCACGTTCGGCAGAGGTCACCGGGCATGCTGGGGGGAGGGGGGGCAAAGCGCCTCACATCCCTCCATGGCTCGACACGTGCTCAGTCTTGGAAGCCGCACGTCCTACTACACTGTTTATTACCGAGTGTCCTGCTGTTCAGGACACGGACGTCTTCCCAAATGGGCCCGTGAGGGGAGAAGCAGGACAGCCTGCGTTGGGGTCTTCAGGACCCTCTGCCACTAGGTGCTGATGGCACTTTTCCATCTGGAAGAAACATGTACAGCCTTTGCCTATAAACCGCAACATGTAGCCTCTACTTTCACAAGTTTAGTTCACCATATTTCCTCATATTAAAAGTTGGATGCCTCCAATATAGAACATTAAACACAGATACTAACAGTGAGCAGAACATCAGCATCCATACACAACACTGCCAGTTACCGCCAGCACAGCATCACACGCCTTTCATTTAAACCAAATATACAGCCACTATACTGCGGCCAAGATGAGCATCATTTCCTAAAATGCTACCAGTAGCAGCATGACAGATGCATAGATAGGCCAGGCCCCCCAGCTGCTAAGAGCCGCAGACCCGGGCAAAGGCAGGTGGGGGGCGCGAATGACGCAAGTGTATCAGTCACCTTATCGTATAAACTTTGGATCAGTCTAAAACAAAGTGGCTCATAAACGCTCACTACGGATGACACACGAACACACATGGGACAGCTGCTCGCCAGTCATCCAGCTCCCCACTTCGAGGGTTGCAGGTTTGAATCCCATACCTGCTTTTTGAGAGGTGGTGTGTAGCTCAGTGGTATAGGGATCTATACCCATGTCAAGAGGGTTGTAGGTTTGAATCCCATGGGTGGCAGAGTAATCGTGACACTGCCCCAAAGCGAAGCCCTTAAAGCCAGCGCTGGGTGCCGGCCAGCCCACTATCTGACACTAAGCTCTCCTTACTTGCACTGCTTTGAACAGAAGCACCTTACAACTAGGAAAGATGCTGTTGGAATGACAATGTTCTCCCTGGACAGCCCCCCCCCCCCCCCCCCCACCCCCCCCCCCTCCCCCCCCCCCCCCCCCCCCCCCCCCCAGCTAATCCCTACCCCTTTCACACTCCCCAACCTCAACAAGTTACAGAATTACCTGATGGATCACCTGGAAATGTGAAGGCCAATAAATGTGTTTTTACCTGCATGCTCCGAGTCCTAGTTGTGCCACACAACTTTGAAACTACACCTATTCATTTACTGCACATTCCACTTACATGGCAAATAGTTAATGAAGCTAGAGAAAGATTCTGATATCATATGTATGTCTTAACATCCAAGTCTTAAAATACAATATTTATATTCTGCTTATTTCTCATTTGCACAATAATTAACATTTTCCATGATATAACAGTAGGAAGTGCAAGAGCCGCACCAATGGTATAACCAAGTATCTGGCATGTAAAGTCAGACGCATGCAGATCCCTCTGACCTCACATTCTTCTGAGATCAAATGTTACTGCTACCTAGACTGTTTTTGACTATTGATATGCAAGCGCCACTTAGCTGGCAAAAAGTGGAGTAGATTTTCACCCAAATAAATATTTTTGTAAAGTGGCAATAAAACTCAAAAGTCAGAGTATATTGTGTTCGTATAAAAGTGTAATCCTGTTCACAAGGTCAAGCATCTTCTGTAGTCACCCTTCTTTTTCTGTTACTAAGGCCTGTTGCGGCAATTATGCGAGTTGCCTCAAAATTTAATCAGGTCTTGATCTTCATCTTTACAGTGTCTGCAAAGTTTGGAAAATGCCCGACAAATAGTTATCCTCACAAGATTGTGTATAAAGTCTCCAGGTTTCGTTGCAACTATGGAGTGCGGCTTCAATTTTGATGTGATTTGTGTCAAAATGTAATCAAGTGCAGGTCATACTCTAACAATGTGCCATGAAAGGTTGAAAAACATCTAATAGTTTGAGTTACTGCACTAACGGGACCAAGTGTCTGAAATTGCCGTTTTGCAGAGCCGCATGAAATAATGGGTTCGAATTGTTTCAATTTTGGGGTGATCTGTCTCAAAATGTGCTAACTTCTACAGCCTGCCCTTCCTTTGCGGCCACACTGCGCCGCAGCTTCATTTTTTAGGGCAATTTGTTAGAAAATGAAAGCAGGCGCAGATCTCCATGTTATTCATACAGTAATATACGGGTCTAGCATGTCAGCTTTGGGTTCATGGTGTAACTTCAGTACAGCAGGGGAAATAATGCTTGAAAATCACTGCAACCTCAAACAATTAGGAACAGTTGCAAAACAAAGTCAGTGTGTCAGTTAATGTGTCAGGGAAAAAAAACTAGTGTACAAATCTCTCTCTCACACACACACACACACACACACACACACACACACACACTGAACTAAATCCATCTAAATTCCATTTTCTCTACTCGAGGGTATGCTTGCATTTCTGTCGCAATAAATACCAATAATTGTAATTCGTGGCAAAAGCGCTTTAAACACCACAAAGAATAACCTGAAGAGCCATTCCTGCCGTGTTCCCAGCAGTCACGTCGTCATCTCAAATGTTTCCAGCAACATGGAGTTTGTCATAACAGTAGCCTTTCTGACTTCAAATTTTGGTTGCCTGAGATGAATGTTAACTATCCCAAGTTTAAAAACAAGACACTGGTGATGCAGTGATAAGGAGATTTCTGGCTGATACCGAAAGCCAACAACAGTCCCAACGCACTATAACTGTATACATCCTACATATAACATTCATAACTCTTGTGTTACTGATAGACTGGTGTTATTCAGCAGTACTGCAGCCTTTTTTGTTGGAATGCATTTGTTTTTCCAGAAACTCTTCACTGTCACCTTAAGGTGAGCAATCAAATTTGTTGTGTTGAAGTGTTCAGATGAGATTTTAGCAGAGAAATTTTGTGCAAAATGCATTTCTAACAACGTTAAAATAATTCCACACAGACATTTTTCTAACTGTTTAGTACGTGGGTATGAAAAACAATATGGGTCACCATTTTAAAGGGAATTATTGACAGTTAACATAGGCTCATTTTTAACCATTGGCCAATGGACAATCGTTGCTGTATCGGCATATACTAAGAGTTGGCCAAAATAATCAGTCTCTCTCTCCCTCACACACACACAAAGTAATAATACTAAAAACAAATTTTAAGTGGAAACATCCTAAATGGCATTCTTATTTCAGCTTTGACAAACCAGCCATTACGCATGACAGAGGCAAACTAGGGGCAAAGAGGTTTGTCAGTATCACAGACAAGTGAGGAAAGCAAAAAGAAACAGCTCCTCATGTCCTGCAGCCGCACATGCAGGGATAAAGTAAAAATCAAACAATTTACCTTGAAACAAATGTGCAATGAAACCGGATTTGTTGTAGTAACAGGCACAGAACTGTAACGTTAACATTATAGCAGAGCAACATAACTGCTTCATGTTACCATTACATGATGAAAATATAACGATAAGTACAGCAATGATAAATGAACAATAAGCATGAGAAATATACTTGTACTTTCCCAAGAATACATCAAAATATTTTGTCCACTTTCCGACAGTTTTTGTACCCAGCCATAAATTAAGCTATTAACTCTGTAACTTTTACCCGCTTTCATTTGCTTCAGTGTTACCCACGGTTAAAAACTAGATAATTAATGATACTCTCATAACGGATAGTCGGTGGTTCTCAACCATTGTGCTTTCGCTGTGTATGGGTCCCTTCCTGTCATAAGTTCTCTCTTTATATCATCTGCTTTTATATAATGTTTATATAACATTATTTCACGTTACCATACCCAGTGCACTTAATATGACTGGTGAGATCCTGTACGTGACTTGTTTGCTTTAATGTGCACAGAGTACTCCATTACTGTGGCTGACAACGCAACGATTGAGGTGGGTGCAGAAGAAACAAATCAAGGCTTAAAGCGTGCACTTCCTAGCAGACAAACCATCATCGTGATCAACTCCATGGTCAAAGTTTTTCCTCCAAATAAGTTAAGTGTAGAAAAGGCAAATAAAGGAGGTGGTGTCACATTTTGGTAGCCCAACGGGGAAAAACTCGATTGTCACGGGATGTCAGGTTTGCAATTTCGGTGCAATTTATTGGACAACGAAAATGTTCCCAAACTGCTGATGACCGACTAACCAGCATTAGCCGTAACCAGCTCAGTCACAATTACTATAATGGGAACATCTACTTGTGAATTCATGTTCAGAATCAGAATCAGGTTTATTGGCCATGTGTGTGTGTGGCACACAAGGATTTTTTTTTGTGGCAGTTCCAGCACATTCGTCCCATGTCAATAAATGTATGTGCTTGCTTCACTGTGTACTGATCTGAAAATGTACCAGACGGTACACGAAAATGTGTACCAACCAACACAGGCCCACTGTTCATGGCTGAGACTGGCTGAGACCTTCTGAACACCTGACAAACCCAACTCAACACTGTTCAAATGGATGTAAAACAATAAAAAGTACAGTACAAACACTGAAGGACCCTGGGAGCAGTGACAGACTGCAGGAAATGGCATTAACATCACACCAATAAAAAGGTATTAGGTACAGCAGAATCAGTATAGTCCGAAGGTGTGCTTCATTCACAGAACGCTACAAATACAATTGAGGCACTGAATGAGTCTCACTGTCAGACTGATAATCTCCATTGCAGCAGATGTGGAGTTAGCAACACGAGCAGGGATTGTGTTTTAGAAGAAAAGGTTGGAGTGTTTTCTTAGAAAAGTGCTGCGTAAGCAGGAAAAGTCCCGGAAAGGGCAGGATAGGGATCAGCGGCACCCTGCCCCCCCCTCCGGCTGCGCTCTCAGGAGCAACAGAACCCAAACGCTGCTGTGCTCGCAGGCATTTGTAAGGATCTGCTGGCATTCAGGGCCATGGCTTCTACCAGATTAAAGACACAACCAGAAATAATCGCAACGACATCACAGTTTATGGAAGACAGAGAGCAAATTATAAAGGAAATAAATCTTTGTGATGTACCCGTTATGCCATTAGAAGGCATTTCAGCCTCAGCTACTGCAAGCTATTACAAAAACAATCGTCTATTGATCAAAGAATTGTAAAGCAATAAAGGTGAGATCATTCAAAACTGCTAACTGAACGGCTCCTCTCTCAAGGCCATTCCCCAGGTCCCCTTCAGTGAGGTCCACCCCATCCCAGGAATAATGATTCCTGTGTGCAGACATCTTCACAGCAACTGCGCGCTCTTTGCTCTCACTGAGCAACACTACATCCAAGCCACTTTATATCAATAAGGCATTACCAACCACTATCTGCAAGTACACACACACAGCTCAGTACCACTTACAGAGACACAAGCTAGTCTCATACGAAGGGCCAGGAGGAAAACCAGATGAATCCGAAGGGCCCTGAAAGCAGCCGATCCACATGAGAGTGCTGGGAAGGTACGGCTTTACACACACATGCACGGACAGACACGCACACACACATACACGCAGGACTCACCGAGCTGGAACGTCCACTTGTATGTGCGCGCAGAGGAGAAAGCCGACTTGTCCCTCTGCTTGTCCTTCTCCCCTTCTTTGCCATTGGGGGCACCAGGGGTCACAGTCCCCGGGGAGCGGGGCAGCTTCGGGGCCCTGTGCACACCGGGGGCCTTAACGGGAGTCAGCTTGCCGGACGTGTCTGTGACAGGGAGGTCCTCACTGTCGCTGCTGTGCCCTGAATGGGAATAGCAGCATGAGAAAAATATCTGATCACATGACCACATTAATTTAACTATACATGTATGAGACAACCTATCAGAATGCAAGAATTAATGGCAATAGCTTCTTTGGCGCCACTCTAATGCTCGTGAGCCCCACACCCCAGGGCACCTACCAGCACCATTCTTCTCTCCCTTGCCAGCGGCCCCTGCACCGCTTGAGCGCTTCTGGCCACGCTTCTGCTTCTTTGCTGACGAGCTGCCGCTTCCATCCAAGGACCTCTTATGGCCTGGAGGGAGGAGGGCAGTCAGCGGGCACGTGTGCAAGACTTTGCCGGCCTGGGAGCTAGCAGCCACTGAACAAGCGAACTGAGCCCCCCCAGGCGTGGAGACACCACTCGCTCACAGCTGAGGATCTACAGGAGTCCATATGCCACTTAACGCCTGTACAGCTCAGAGTCAAAGTACAGCGGCATCATTAAGAATAAAGGGCAACTGAACGACCAGTTCCCATTAAGCTTAACCACATAAGGCGGGCGGCAACTGCGAAAGGTCCGCGGGGGGGTCGGGCAGCACGGGGCTGACGTTTGCTTACCCCGGTCTTGCAGCGACGCGCTGGAGCTGCCTGAGCCCTCGAAGCCGTTGGCTGCCTCGCTCTCACACAGGCCCTCCTGCGACTCGCCCGCCACGCTCTCCACCTCAATGGTGACGTCGCTCTCACTCTTAGTGCTGTGTGACTCGCTGGGGCTAGGCGTGGTGCTGGGGGACGGGGCCAGGGGGGGTGGTGCCGAGGTCCCCGGGAGGGCATGGAGCATGGCGGCAGTGGGGGCCCGGGGCTTCTCCTCGACCCGCACCGCCAGCAGCAGCTCCTCTCCGGAAGGCTTCTCCCGCTCGTCGGGGTCATCCAGGTCCACCTCATGGCAAACCAGGGACTCGGGGCCTATCTGAGATATGAGTTCAGACTGGACGCCCAGAACCGCCTCGGCCAATGGGCATGGCCGCAACAGCTCCTCCCGCCCTGCCTCCATGCTGAGGGTGGGCATCCCGGGCCGGACCTCCAGCTCCCCGCCGGCTGCCGCTGCCAGGCGTTCCTCGGCCCTTGGCGGCGTCTCCAGCCTCCTGTCTGGCTCGACCTCCTCCCTCCTCTCCACCCGCACCTTCTTCTCAGGCGTCCGCTGCTCGGGGGATTTGCGCTTGATGGGCCTCCGGTCCTCAGTGCAGATCTCCTCGGTGGCCGAGTCTGTGTCCGAGTCAGTGGGCCCCAGCGGGGGGAGGGGTAAGGGCCGTGGGCAGTGTGGGCCCTCGGGGGCCACCTCAGCCTTACTCAGGCTCAGCAGGGCCACAGCCTCACCCTCTGGGTGGCTGGTACAGATGGCCTGCTTCACAGGGGACACTTCCTTCTCCTGCTCCTTACAGCGTCCCCTCCTGCCCTTGGTGTGTGGAAACCGTTCCTCTTCCTGCGATTCTAAGGCTTTCTCCAGATCTGGGAGTGAGGACACCTCGTCTTCCTGCTCCTCTGGCTCCTTGGTAACAGGGGCCTCTTCCTGGAGGCTGGTCCTCTCTATCTGGGGCCCCTGAGGGCCGTCGGAGAGCTCCGGCTCAGGCAGGAAGTCAATGGGTAGGCATGGCTGTGCTTTGGGATCCTCGTATTGGTCGTCCTGGGGGGTCATGGGCGGGTCAGTGCTCCCCTGCCGTGTGAGCTTCTTCTCGGGGGAGCTCTCAGAGTCTGTGTCATCTGACGAGTTCCCCGACTCCTCTGTGGGGAGACACCAGGGTTAGTCTTTGCCCCAGCAAGTCAAAGTCACAGCAAACCTTAATAGTAGGGGTGCAATGATTATTCGACATTGTCGACAAAAAGCGACAACAACATTAGTCGGCGACGAATTTGATTGATGATAATTGTCGCCAGACGTATTTTTAAACGGAGTGAGACGTTTTCCCTTCCTTTCTACCTGTGCAATACTACCGCTTTCCAATAGACTGCACCAATACAGCACACTGGTGAGATTCGCTCTTGCGCAATAGCATTCAGCTATTCAGCGACAGGTAGAAGAATGGCGGCCACAAATCAGGCAACATCGCGTATTAAATGCTCTAAAGTCTGGGACACGTGGATTAAAGTTTTCGGTCGCTATGACGGATTTCCGTCAACTGAGTGCACTAAAGGTTAATAATGAGATTTATGTAGATACGAAGAAAAAAACGGGGGGCTGGAAAGGCTGTATTTCTTGTTTAATTACGATTTAATTATTCTTCCTAAAAATAAAAATAAACATTATGGTTTCGGCAGTTCGCTTAAACATTCACGGCTGCGGAGTAGCCTACAGGCTGCAAGCTATTTCCCGGCGCGTGTTTAAGATGCCAAACTTCATAGTAAGGAGAAAATAATTCCCCAGCATTTAGTGCCACATCAGTCTCAAAGGCTTTTAATGTCCCAAAACAAAGACGAGATCTGCAAAAGGGTGAATGGCACGGGTTTCTTGTTGCCTGGCATACCCAATAATAATAATAACAACAACAACAACAAGGCATAATATTAGGTTAGTAGTAGTATATTTTACATTTTCAAAAAAAGATCGGAATAGAACGTATTTATGTCTGGAAGTCAGTGGTGTGTCATGAAGTGTCTCATTCGATAATAGTAGCTAAAAAAAAAGGTCGGAGAACAGTGGAGAAAACCCATTGCTTAAATAGATAAAGAAGCCAAAACTCCGAAGCTCAAGATTCAGGACAGTGGCTCCAATGTCGCAAGTGCTGTGAGAGCTTAGGCTCCGTTAAAAATAAACAGTAGTTTTGAAGTCCGTTTTCTTGCTGTTAACAGAGGAATGGCAATGGGAAGCTGCTCTAAATTTCCCGTATTTTGGGTCGGGATCTTGGGATTTTTCAGCCTGCTTTAAAATGAGTTTTTATTTGTAAACATAAGCTATATAAATAGCTGATATGACAAGAAATTACCGTGCATTTTAACCTCTATACCGCAAATGAAGTACGAATTAGCATATACAGGTTAAAATGCATGATAATTTCTGGTCATATAAGCGCAAATGCACATAAAATACGTACGCATTTGCACTGTCACAGCAATTGATTGCCACACATATCGCTTTTAAAGTTGAATGCGTACTTATGTACCAGTTATATGCAGCCCTGATAATAAAGATTGTATAAGAAATTCGGATCGGCACCGATCCAGACCTATTTCACGGATCGGGTATCGGCCATGTGTGACCAATCCATGTCCTATACTTACTTATTTAGTTTTTGGCAATCTCTAAAAAGATAGCTCCTATTTCGTGATAAATCTATTTGCACAATCAATCACGCAACAGCTCTTTCCCATTTTACATGTGTTTTTTTGCAGCATTCAAGTCAAACAATAATATCATGCTAAATCTAAAAGCTGGTAGCTAAATAGGAGCCATCATAATTATGCCATTTATAATCCGATTAGTCAACTAATCGTTTTAATAGTCGATGACTAGTCGACTATCAGAACAGCCGTTAGTTGCAGCATTATAAGGCAGTTACTGATGGATCAGCAATGGGCCCAGAGTACTAGAGCGTCACACGCATTTTAGAAGACGCTTCACGTAGCAGTCGGTTCACTACATTACTAATTTAAGGTAAATTATTTTTAAAATGTAGTAATTACAGCAATGAATCCATCTGGATGTCAAATCCACCAAAGTAAATACAATGACACCATACTTAACGAGCACGTGGTAAAGCCCTCCCAGCACACTGGTACTCAAAGGGCCAATCGAGATTAGCTACATGATGGAGCTTATTAACTTATACATCTGCTAAATAAAAGAATTTAAGTGAGGCTCATTAACTGAACGTCAAACTGAGTTTTGTGCATCTGTGGGTTTGGTGAATCAGCCTGGGTAAAGGCAGACAGACAGACACGCAGACAGACAGACACGCAGACAGACAGACACGCAGACAGACAGACACGCAGACAGACAGACAGACAGACATGCAGACAGACACAGGCAGATGTGAGAAATGAAAGGCCCACCAATAGATCCTCTGTCGGAGTCGTACATGCCAGATGTTCGGCGAGTCCTTCGGCGCGGGGTTCCTGTCGGGAACACGATGACAGGATGAAGGGGGCAGGGCGGGGGTGGGCGCAGAAGCGAGCCGGAACGGCAGCCAAGCACGGCGTCCTTGGCCTTCTGCTCACCTTCACGCCACTAGAAATGTCACTTTCATTGCAACTAGACTGCAAAGCGTTACCACCCCCCCCCC